TTTGAAATTTTCTTGTCCAACATCTTGGCTGAATCGAGATTAGTGAAGTCAATTGAACAGTGCTAGACTAAAACTGGATGAATTGAGAACACAATCATGTCTTTTTCTTTAAACTTTTCCTCTTTAAATAGCTGTATAGTCTAAATTGCCCTTTCATATGACAAATTGATTCCTCATTAACAATTTAAGTTTCTTGGGGTAAGAAGACCATGCATTTTAGCCTGGGTACAGTTTGCCATTTTTCCTACTTTGCCTAGGTGCTGAGTGTTGGTTTGGGTTTCTTTTCCCCACTTTTACTGCTACAGTTGCTTTTCTCTGCTCTGTACTCTCAAGAACATTTTGCCTGTTTTCAAGATTGCATTATATAAAGACAAGATAATTCAGCCTCCTAATCCTTTCTGTGGACATAAGTCATTCAAAACATCCTTGAAGAATACTGAAGTACTGCAACATCTATCCTTCGGTGTCCTTCTAGATTGAGAGCATGTATGATTCAGTCAAGTGCTCTTCTTGATGCTTGACCTAGAGGCATAAGAAATATATTTTGGAAAAGATATGGAGAAGGTTTTGTCATATTGTGAGACAATATTACATATAACCAGTAATATCAGTAAGTTCATATGATTAAGCACTGTGAAGAATAATTTCCTCCTGAGAATTAAACAGAAAACCAAATACTCAGTGAAATTACCTCAGGAGAAGGATTATCTTCTTCTCATTTCCAGTTAAAACTCAGTAAATTAAAAAATCTTTTGTTTGGAAAAAAATAGATTTTTTACAAAACAGCTCAAGGATTAATGAAGTAAAAAGAGTGAAATATTGCATACGCACAAATGCAAGAAAGGGCAGTAATTTGCTTCACATAATGTTTAACATCATAAAACCACAGGAACAAAATCGAGCAGCTTGAAAATGTCAGCAGAATGCTGAGATTGAATCTATGCCCTCTGGCTGACTTTCTTATTGCTCTAATTACACATTAGGTATAGGGTTTTTAAAGTAGGGTAAGAAGAGTTTACTCCTACTAAGGGACAGTCTCTGCTGCCCTAGAGACCTACTTGCTCACAAGAAGCTTATATACAAGATTAGTTTATCAAGAAATCATTTTTATGGATCATCATAAGTGTTTTCCAAGAGCAAAATCCAGTGACCAGATCTAGTGTTTTTGTAGACTGTACAAAAATGCTATTTCTTATTTGTTTGGACTCCTGTAGTTCTTAGTTCAGCAGTAGTCTGTATCAGATGCCACTTAACAAAAGAACTAAACTTTCTGAATGAAGGAAGAAGGCAAGTGAAAACACACATATTTCTTCTTTCCTACATGTATAAACTAAAGCACAGCTAACTTTGTTCCTCTGCCATTTGCAGCTGAAACGTTCTCGGGAGACAGAAAGTCAGCTGAAGCCTTTGGTAGAAAAAAATAAGAGAATGAGCAAAAAAAATGATGATATGTTGCAATGTATCCAGAGAATGGAGGAGAAAATAAAAAATCTGTCAAGGGAAAATGTAGAATTGGTAAGTAATCATCTCTGACATCATGTTCTAAGAACACATTGCACACAGCTACTTTTGAGGTGGAAGTGTTTGTGAGGTTTTTACTCTAATACAGTCATTTCAGTCTTAAATTCAGCCAATGCAACTGAATATTCATACTCTAAATTCAGAGTGGCATGTGCTTTGTGTTGTATCAATTCACCCTGATTAAGAGAAGGGATCACAGATAGATAAAATGTGTTTGGAGGCTATAAAAGTGTATGACTAAAAATCAGCTTTAATAAATGCTGCTTTTGTAATTAGAAGTCAGAATTGAATTTGAGTGCATGTGCCAAAGGCTACACTATGTTAGATCACTGAGTTCACTTGTTTGCTAATTTTATCCCAGACTATGTTCTTTGATTCTGTTTTAAAATACCTTATGTGAGATATTAACACTGGGCATACAGAATGTGTAATATTTTTTTTGTGGAAAGAGGCCTTATGTTTTAGTGGAGTATGCACTGATAAGTCCAAAGAATTCTTGATTACTACAACACACATGAGAATTTTCCTCCTGTTCCAGCAAGACACTTTAAAATGTTCTTTATGTTTAATTTTTTTTTTTTCAATTTTATTTTAATTTTTGTAGAAAGAAAAGTTATCTGCACAGCCAGCACTGAAGAGGCACACATCTTTGAATGATCTTAGCAGCACACGGGACGAACAAGAAATTGAATTCCTTAGACTGCAAGTCAAAGAACAGCAGCATGTTATTGATGATCTCACAGTGGTAATGATTATGACTGGTATACACACATGCATGCACACACATCTATAGGCAAGCTAAAGGATCTGAGAGCAATATTCTAACTCCAGTTGTTGTAGTCATACAGAAATAGTTCTTTAGCATCAAAGGGTTCTTGTTATTTCTTCAGGTAGTGAACAAATTTCTTTGGAATGTGTATGAATCTCTGTATTATAAAATGTTTACCTATTATGAGCTGCTTGTGAAAAGAAGCACATCAGTCCATCCACCTTACTTACAAAATTGGCTGTCAACAATTGAGGAACTTGGAGGAAAGGACATCTTTCAAAACTTAATGACTGAAACGTGTTGGGTGTAGACCCTGGTGCAAACCCAACCACTCCCCTAATTTAGAAGTTCTCCTAAAAGAAAGGAACATGCAGGATGGCATACATTTCAACTCACTAAGCCTGGCCGCACTAGCTGTCTTTATAACAAATGGAGAGAAATATGCGTGGTTCATCCAAACAAAGGTAGCAGCATAGTATAAGACCAGAATTGCACAGCTGCTACCCTCTGACTGTGAAGACCATGTAAGATGATGCTCACAGATGTTTGCACTGTTTGATCAGGACTCTTTTCAGTTGTGTTAGAATTGTCTGGTGCTATTTAGTGCAACGTATAGTACACTCTTCTGGTGCTGGCAGAAATGATGTATAATCTCTGAGAGACCCCTACGCTTCTGGAGCAGCATCTGGAACTCAGGCAGACTATTCTAGAAGATCTCAAATGGCACTACTGACTGCTACAAAATGATAAAACAAATTTAAGACCATTTTGTCTAAATACAAAATTCAACAATTGGCTACAATGCTGAAAATAAAAATAGAAGATCCAAAACCATAAAATAACAAGATGTGTTGTTGCTCTGTCTGGAACATTGTCTCTTTTCTTGGCAGTTCCTCTGAGATTTTGACCCAGGATTTCTCTCTGTAATCAGTGCCAAAGATTGATGTCTGCATGCATTTTCCAGTGTCACAGTGTTACAAGCAGTAGGATGTTACTCAGACACTATGATGTAGGGTCTGATTCACGAGCAATGCTGCTTTACCTTCCAAAGACAACTGTTCAGGCAGGGACTATGACATGATATTAAATTCTCAGTATATGGCAGATATAACCTCACTTCTATTTCAGTGTAAAATGGGTATGAAAGGACTCTCTTTTTACTGTCTCAGCCAGTAATCTGAGGAACTATATTGTATCCTGACTTTGGTCAACTAGTATTTACTTGTGTTTAGTGTGAAAGTAAAATAAATAAATATTTTAAAATATGGTTTCATTTTTGCTTTGTTTCCTATTTACAGATACTTTTTCACTGTCAGAAATAAGTTAAATTGTTAACTAGGATACAGCTTTGGTTGGTAGTACAAATTAATTGGTGCTTTGCCTTCGATATGAGTGCAGTGGAACTCTGCACTTCCGTTGTCCTTTTCAGCTATCTTTTCTGGCTCAAACCGCACCTCTACAGAATAGAAATGTATCATAATTATCAAGAATGACCCACATGTCACATACCTGATTAATACAAAAGTCATCAGCTTACCTCCAGCTGAGACCAATATGTTACAGAGAAATAAGAATGATAGTCTTAGGCAATGGAGTTGCCTGAATTGATTAGTATTGTAGTTTGTAGGGTATCTTTGATGCTGTTGAAGCCATATAAACTTGAGTTCTCCCATAACAGTGGTTTTCTGGTCAGTTCTTAAAAGGAAAGCTGTCAAGATAAACTCATATGATTGCAAGAGATGCTAGTGATTCAGCAAATGGTGTTTTTTAATTGGCATTATTGTTCTAGTATCTTGATGTACTATTAAGACGGTAAATTAAGCAGTCTTCTTACAAACAAGATTAGAAACAGGAAGGAGTGGGGTTTCAGTTTCAAAGTGTTTGCTCATTCTGCACTGAAGAGAGAGGAAAGGAAAGGAAAGACAGAGGGAGAAGACTAGCCAGTTTCTCCAACTGTTTGGACACCTGCTTCAGATGCAGCAGACACAGGTTAAGTCAGGGACTGTGCCTTAACCAGGTACCCGAGGAGGGAGCATTATTTTTCAACACTGTCTAAAATTCAACTTGGTGTTTTCAGCTTGAGCTTAATATATTATTCTACAGCTTGAAACACCTGCTCCATTCTACCTTGGCAGTCATTACTTTTCCTTATTCTGAAAGCCACATGTATTAAATGTGCTATATAATTTTTTGTGCTTTTCTGAATTATTTAATATTCTCCAAAACTTTGTTGCTGGAACAATGTGCTGATAAAGATGAATATTTTTATTGTGATTTCCACTGGGAGCTTCCTATTTGTCCAGTTTCTGAGCTGAATATAAAGCAAAGAACTCTGAACAGAATAATACTGTGCAGTGAGCAATAACTGCTAGAGAAGCACTTGGAACTGCTATCATTCTTTTAAAAACAAAGGTGTTGCAAATAAAGATGCAGAGCTAAGGAAAGAATCAGAAAGAAAGGGAAAAAAAAGGCAAGGAGACAGAACACCTGCTTCCTGTGTTGTTTTTTGGCTTGTCCTCTCCTTTGCATTTTTTACCTTCTCTTTCTCCTCTTCTCCTTTGAAATTCAAGGCAGTGTTCTTGGGGTTGAACGTTCACAAACCCTGCATTTTCCCAGTCATAACCTCCTCATATTATGATGTAGTTAATTATGATCTTGTTCCAAGATCACAGTAGAAAAAAGATACTGACTGAGTCGACACAGACTAAGTGAGAATGCCTTTGGATTTCAGACTTTTGCCCTGCAAGGATAAGTCATGTATCTGTATCTGCATATGCATGGTTGTATATCAACGTATGCCTGATGGAATGACTTGTAATTACTAAGGCTGGACTCATTTTTGGCTACTGACCTGCTTCTTCAGGATGGTTGAACATTGGAGTGAGAATGTGAATTCTGTTTCCATAGTGAGCTCCTTGGTAAAAGAGTCAAAAGAACTGTCAGAAATCTGTGCCCAGTATTTAACAAAGCCTTTTCTTGCCAACTTCCCATCAAGTGCATAAAGTATATGGCTGAAGGTTTGTTTGCTAAAGGGATAAAGCTGCAGTGTAGTGTCATGTTATACCAATGTGGCATTATTCAATAAACATAGACGTTGTCTTTGAGTTAGCTTTACCATAGGCATTAAGAAAATTTGAATGATATTTCTTTGTGCTAGACATATCTAAATACATATTTTAAAAGAAACCCATACCAAAATGTTCTCTTTCCTTCTAGGAAAGGGAACGGTTATTGCGGTCTAAAAAACAGAAGAGGAAAAGTCTGAAGCCTCCAAAGGTGAGCACACTTTCAGTTTTCCATTTTGGTTGTTGTGAACAGTGCTTGTTTCAAATATTGCCTGAAATTACAGCTCTAATTAAACTAATAGTAAAATTTCATATAGTTCTATTTTTTCTACTGAGTGCTTATTAAACTTTTCTTAGGATAATTCAGGAGCTGCAAGTTTTGTACTGCACACAAGTGTTGTTTTGGGTTTTGTTTTAAATGAAGAATATAATTACACTTCTAGCCCTTGTGGCCTAAGTATTCAAATGGCTTGAGGTCTAAATGATATAATGACTTGAAATAACTACGATTTCAGAGGAATGCTCAGTCCTTTTTAAAGAAAATACATTCTTTAAACAATGTGTACCAAGTTACTGCTTAATCACAACTGAAAACTTTAACTCATGCTAGGGATGTTATTGAAATTATATTTCTGCATGTGATATATAGATAGTAAGAAGATTCTAACTGTTTTTCTCTAGTAACTATTTTGCTCTGGAATGCAAAATACAGGAGAAAAATTTAGATTGTAGAAACAGAAAAGTTTTGCTTCAGAGTGTACCTTTAGTGTTCATTGTAACGTGCTTAAAGTAATTAATTTTGCTGAATAACGTTTTTTGTGAAGTTGAACATTAGCAGCCTGGAGGGTGTGAGGGGAGGAGAATGGGGTAAGAGGGAAAAAACGGAAGTGAAGAGTGGAGAGATGATTATCGTCTATATGGTAGCTTAAGATACATTCTGTCATAAGTGGGTGCTTCTTGTCAGCGTGTTCTGTGTCGTGTATCCTGGTGACCTCCAGGTGGTGCTTTTTTATTGCTCTGCATTCTGTAATACCCGTATTCTGAAAGATTTAGCCTTTGGGATTCTCTGTTTCAGCGGTAATTTCTTCAAATTATGCTTTGAATAATGATGTGTCTTTTACATATGAAGAAAGAAAAATTCAGAAGTAACAATAAATCATGCATACATTTTTCTGTTATATAATGGAAGGCTGAGAGACACCAAATATGTTTGCAGTAACTCTGAACCATTCTTTCTTGGAAGTTTGTGTGTTGAGAGCAAGTTTGAAAACAGGACATAAAATTAAATATAGATATATGTAACTAATACTGTAATTTTTATAGTCCTCTCTAATCTTCAGCCCTTATCTGATTTTAAATTAATTGTGTAAGCTAAATTGCAAAGTTCCTAATGAAATAAAACTCGTTAGTTTAGTTTTTTAGGAGTTGGTAACTAATGATGCTAATTTCCATAGGCTGAAAACTTCCATAATTCATTTATGTAATAAAAATATTCTGTGTTAATAGAACTTCAGCTGACAGACTCTGTACCCTTTCATTTTACCTTTGTCTCTTGAGTAAACTGCTGCTTTTGTGGTATCTTCTTCTTTTCCGTATTGACGAAAGCAAGAGTTAAACAACATGAGGGTTGGAGAAAATGTGCATGATACCATTAAGAAATTTGTGGCAGTGCTATTCTTCATGTGGTAAGAGTACTACAACTGGGGGACTTCTGAAGAGATTACTGCAAGAATTGTGTGCATATGAGCAGCAGAGTTAGTAGGGGTTTGCTTCTTATTTATGATCTGATAGATACACCAGAAAGAGCAAATTAGTCAGTAGCAGACATAACTCCCTCTAGTTATTCCATCCCCTGTCCATTAGCTCTTTGGTGCCCATATGAAATTGGCCATTTGAAATCCTATTTGATGCTATCTCCTCAAAGGAAAAGCAGGACTATAAAAAAAAAAGTGAAGAGAGAGAAAGCTGTGAGAGAAGAGTGAATAGGATTATATATATTATACTAGTTATTATATGACTATATATATAGTTTCTAAATGAGCTAATTCCTTAAGGAAGGAAAGAAGACATCAATAATATATTTATTAGTGTCCTATTACCTGCCGTCATATAAACCTGTAGACTATTCACATGTATATGCAGTGCTGGCTTGGAGTTCAAACAGTGTTGATGTTAGCTTCTAAAAATCCAATCCTGGCATGCAGGCTGGTTTGCTTCCAGGTCACCTGTGTGGTCCTGTGAGGATCAAAATCTTCAAAGGAAGCTGTGTTTCTCACAGTTTTCCAGCAGTTTTTTTATTTAAACAATCTGTGTAGAATGGGCTACTTACCCAGATGAGCTGATGGGATTGTACCATCTTCATCCTCTCTATCTTTACAGCCTAGCTCGGGAATCCAGATGAAAACAGTAGAATTCATCTAACCAGGCATTGCAAATGCTTCTTTAGATGTCATTAACAGTGGTGAGATATAGACATCTCACGGACAAAGTGGTAACATTAAGTGGTGATTGTTCTCCTCTGGAAGTAGATACCTAAATAGGCCATCTGAGTTTTGTCCTAAAATTGCCTATTTCTCCCCATGGACTGTAAAGGCAGTCTAAAATGAGTTGCTTTATATATAGACATGTACAGTGCAAGCGTATTTCTGTCTATGTGCAAGATTTTTATATCATACAGATGATAACCTGTATATAATAGTAGAAGAAATTATGAGTGTATCTGTCCTAACCAACCACTCAGAAGGAGAAATTACTGACGTAAATCTTTGGCTTTGCTTTTCTAAGATTTGTTAAATGTAAAATTAGAATCAACACAGTGAATTATCAAGTGTGGCTGTTGGAGTTGGATCTGTTTCCAGATGTGTCGCACTTCCCTTGACAAAGTGAAAAAGGAAATACCTGATGAGAATTAGGTTTCATGAATGTGGTCAGATATGCTCAGACTAGAAGGTATAGAAAGGTTCCTTTTTTGTTCCAATAAACAGGAACTTGGTGCACAGAGTGAAGACTTAGACTCATCTACTGTTGCAGCTTCTCCTAAACGGGTACTTTTAAACTCCAGATTCCTTAATTTTCAAGGTACTCTGACTGGACAGTGTCTGTGTTTGTTTTCTAATATGAGTATTTTCCTGACAGTGATTCCTGTTAGCTGGAACAGAATCCATGGCATGCCTTTCTCCCTCTTTAAGGCACCTTGTGTGAATGATCTGTCAGGCTAGTCCAGTAGCCTTTAGAGCCTGATTGGGTCTAAATAATATCAGTTCAGCTCAGAAGCTTTTGAAAATACCAAGGAATTTTTTTTTTTTTTTCCCCCCTCCAATTACATGCCTGTGTTATTTCTGGAGCTCTGTAGGTGCACTAGGTTACTGTTGCTAGTGTAGCTTTATCTGAGCACTCTTTTAATTACCAAGGGGCATAGGAGTCCATAGAACAGCACTGGCAACCGGCGCAGGTTCCCCAAGGAAAGGAGCAGCATAGCAGGATGGGCCTTTGTAACCTCTGTGGCTGCAAGGTGTTTAGAGGAGTAATATAATGACTCTGTATAGTCAGGTACTGTAGGATAGTTTTCTCTGAAGTGAAGCAGCCTAAGCTGATAGAGGTGGTGGGGTTTGGTTTTTTTTATGTTATCATGCCATTGGACTTGTTAGGAAAAAGATGTTACCAGAGGTTAATCTTCTTTTGCTGTTTAAAGCATGCTTTTTTCCAGGTGTTTTTTTAGTGGGTTTTTTTTTTTTTTTCCCCAGTTTTGGTAGTGAAATAACCAAGAAACTCTGGAAACAGTATTTTTGGGGCTTTGTTTATTTTTGACACATAGAATGGAGTTACAGTGATTCCATGATTGACGGAGTCATGAATTTGAAAAGAAGGCGTAATTCCCTGGTTGTTTGGAAACTGCAGGACTCTATGGATTTGTTTCTTTATTTAAACTTTAATAAATAAATGTATTCGTGATAGTGGAAAGCCTGCACACTCGTGTGATGGAGTTCATATTTCTTGTTTTATATTTTTCTTTTTTTATCTGCCTCTGTGCTTTGGTGTGCCTGTATTTTTCTGGCTGCCAAGAAATGACATATAAGCATGAAGGTAAGACGTTACTGATTAGCTCATCTGATTGCATTACGAGGAAATTCATCTTGGATCATTTTCATCATGTTAGATTAGGTACTTGAAAATGAGATATTTAAAAGTAAAGTGAAACTACTTTCACAACAGAGAAATCAGATCATTTATATGTAAGTATATCTAATCCAAACTATGTAAAATATGAGGGTATACTGAAATTTGCATATAATATAGTCTACGTGTCACTATTGATCTATAACATTCTAAACTTTGATGTTTACTGAGCACCATACTTCAGTAGAAGCATTAATCCTTGAGTTACAAGGACCTAAGGCATAATTTTACTTTAAAATTATGTGAAAACATTGATATAAATTCACATGAAATATACTTGCTATTAAATGCATGGCAATAGTCAGTGGAAATTAGAATTTAAATCAGAATTTTTCAGCAATTTACATGACTTTTCTCAGTTATGAAGTTATGATTTAGAAGTAGCAAATGTACAAATCAATATAAAAGAATCTTAAGTTGTTAATAGAGAATGCTCCCATTTTTAAGAAAAGTTGGAATTAAACTTGAATGAAAATAGTGTATAGTTACAAAAATCTAGTGAGTATTGTACATGTTTGTATATACTTTTAAAAAACCATTGTGATTCAGCTTTTGAGCTATATGTGGAATTTCCCTTGGAGTTGGTGTATTTATTTATGCCTTATTATTTATTACAGTATTTATCCACAAATTTGTATGATTCAGATATCTTCTTTTTCCTCTTTTTTTTCTCTCTACAGCTGTTCTCTTGCCACTTAATTTGTTCTGGTTTTGCTGTGAATCACTTCTTGTAGCTTGTTGCTTCAGCTACTAGATGACCAACAATAAAACCAGCTATTTTGTAATTATGTCGTGAAGCAATTCATACATGTGCAATTAATATACAATGGTTAAATACCTTGTCTCTTTTTCTATGGGAAGTATCTGCTCCACAGAATGTTAAACGTACAGCTTCTCTAAAGAGGAAGGAGTAATTAAAAAGAAGTGGTTCACTCATAACTCCAAATATTATAGGCAGTCTTTATAGCATTTAATAGTTTTTGACTTTTAACTCTCCTTGAAGTGTGGTTTTTGTAGTGTGATGGAAAATACTAATCTTCTTGCATAATTCCCTCCCATCTAATAATCAAGTGATTTATTTATTAATATATGCAAAATATTTTCCCCTACTTTTGCTACTAGTAAAATGTTCAAATACAGCTAGTATCTTTTGTCAAAATAATGGCATTGCTTTAAGTATCTTCTCAAACCTATGTACATTTATGTAAAGTCAAACCCACTATTGTTTTACTACTGTTTTTTCACTCCTTGAAACAGCGTGCATGGGTGTGTGCATGCAGGGTTAAAGGAAGATACATACTTAAGCTATCTACAAAAGTGGCTGTAGTTTGAGATATAGCAAAAAGCCCTGTAGGTATGATAAGTCTTATTGTCAGTTTTAACTAAGCTGCTGACAACCTTCAGGGTACTGTGTTCTCTGTGCCATATATATGAAAATAAATTGGAGCTTTGTTCTCCATCTTTTAGAAGTCCCTTCTACCAGCCTTTTCAAAGTCAATACTTGCCTCTTACTTTGTCAGCCCTCAAGCCTATGCTTTATTGCAGGTTTTTGGTTGAGCTTTGCTCAAGTGCGTTTGTCATTTTTGAGGCCAAGCACCCTTGAAACAGGAGGCATGAGCAGGGTCAGCTGTTCTTCAGCCCCCTGAGTTGTTTGTCCTTGGCTACATTCCTCCAAAGCACAGGCTAGTTGTTCTGAGCCCCATCCACAGACAAGCTGGTATGGGCAGAAGAGCAGGATATTGGTGTAAGAGTCTGCATGCAGCTTTGTTTTGGGTTTACTCTCAGCATCTTTGCATAAAAAGTATCCTCACTGCAAAATAAGAATGTGGTTTTCATGAAAGTCTCTTGGGTTTTGTTTACCTGCCATCATCATCTTTACCACCATATAATCTGCCTTCATCTTTATGAAACTGTATCTGCTCATCGGTTTGTAGTCAGAAAAGAGTTCTTCCTGATGAGTTGACCTGGCAAACCAAATTGTAAATTTGTCTGCTTTACAACTTGAAGGTAGCACCTTTCTTTAGCCCTATTTTCAACTCCCAGTATTTACTTGTAGTGTTCCTGTTAGATGATTGTAGGCTGCAACCAGTATTCAGTGTGGGTGAAATGCTGGATGAACCATCTTCCAAGGACTAATTACACCTCAGTTTTTGTGGTAAACTTTTGTACTTATGAGAGAGGAGTCTGAAATGTTTGTAATTCAAGTGTGAGAGAACACATTAGATTTCTGGATAAGTCTTTATATTTCTAGAATAGAGCTTATACCTGGTCCCTGTGTCCTTTGTTTTGTTAAGTAGGACAGAACAGTGAACATACTGGTGTAGCATGTGAATGCTGGAGGAAAGGATTAAATTATCCCAGGGAAGTGTTTTTCTTAAGCACCTTAGACATAACTGCCTGGTGAAAGGATCACAGTACTTTCCAAACAACTGAGAGAAGAGTACTGTGTCTTTACAGCATTTTAGTACTATAGCTGCAATCCTTTTCTTTTCTTGTGAATACACTAAGTGGTGGTCTAGTAGCTTGCAAAAGGCAGGCTGTTTCTAAAGATTGTTCAGAAGCTCTTTGCCTTCTGTGCTGCATCATATTTATCTGTATGCAGATGGATAAGCACAGTCTATTTGGAAAAGATGTGGCTTTTCGGGTTGGTTTTTATTTTTGAGTGCATAACATCCTTTCGGGAAGCTATTTTAGTAGAACCAGTTAATTTAAAAATGCAATCTGAATGAAATTTTTGAATTATTATTTGAAGGACTCATCTTAAGTGAAGCAATTAAGTGGTTCAGAACAGGGCCTTGAAGCTGTCTTCGGTAGTGTGAGTGGGGTTAGCTGTACTGTGAAACAATTCTGGAGTTGTTTAGCGTACGAGTGGTGAGACCGTGACCTGGTGGACCATGGTAACCAGGGCTGCAGACTGTAAATGGAGCACATGGCGTCATGCATGCAGCCACCAAGTTACACCTACAAGCTTGATTTTGTGGTCCCACTTAAATCAAGGTAGAGCATGTTGGCTGTGGATGAGAGCTGTGCTGAGCCAAAAGAATATATTAAGCGTCATGGGACTTTGTAAGAAAGTGAAGGCAGTACTTTGTAGACATACTGGAAAAATGTATAAAGTTAGGTAAGTCTAGAATACTGCAGGGAAAGGTAAATATTTGGGGAATTCATCATGAGATAGGGCATTGTGGATAAAATAAAACCTTTCAGTATCTTGAATGAAATGGATAGTTCACAATTCCACTCGCTTAGCCAGTTTGGCTTTGCTGAGGTGTAAGATGACTGATGTTCTGAGTTAATAACAACTGATAATTTTTTTCATCCTTTAGGCTTTTTTAATGAACAGGGCTATTATCTTCTCACACACAACCTGCGGTTTATATTATTTTTTTTAAGAAAAACAAACTGTGACATCAGGATCTGTGATTCAGCATCAAGCAGTGCCAAAAATACAGAGATGGATTGACAAATTTTAATTCGTCTTCTTAGAGCCACCTCTCTCCACTAGCCTCCCTGTCCGGAACGCTTCGCAACCTGACTCCATTTTTCCAGCAATGCCCTTTTGTTTTCTTTTCTTAATTTTCCTGCTTCTCTGAATTTGTTTTGGATGATTAGAACAGTTGTATGGTGTAAAAAAGTTAGGCTTTCTATTGATTAATATTAGTTAACTTTTGTTATTGTTATTTTGGAAGGAAAATACTTGAACAACTGTTTTTCTAATTAAATGTTTAAGCAATTTTTTTTTTTTTTTTGAACAGCGGAATTTTCTATGGATATTTGCTGCTTTCTAAGCATATGTTAGGAAACTGATGGAAAGGGGGCTCTTAAAATGGTGAAAGAATTATTGCAGTTGTGATGTTTTATATAAAACATATTTTGCACAATGAATAATGTAGTATTCACTTCCATTGGCTACTCATTTTCTCTAGTTTTCTGTAAGCATGCATTTAATTGATTACATTTTGTAAAATTTTTAAAAATGCTGTTTTTCCCTAAGCATAGTTTTTTTGGTTACTCATAATGTTGGAGCAAACTTTTGAAAAAATTGAGAGTGGTGGTATTGAAAAAATAAATGGAAAGCAGCTCTTTATGCTTTTAAGTAGGATTTTGCAAAATAGATATTATAAATTAATTTTTTTTCCTTTCGTTCTTTTTTAAAATTAGTGTGATTGACAAAATTTGTTGTTCTTCGGAATATTTTTTCCCTTTTGGTTCCACATCTTATATGTTACATCATCCTGGGTTACTTTCTTCTGAATAGATATTGCATTCCTCTACTGTGAATCTTGTAAGATCTGTATGATTTTGATAATTAGCTTTTATACTTTTGCTAAAGCATTATGCTATTGGCAATTACCCAGTACTATGTGCAGTTCAGTTCTTGGAGTTTCTTATACAAATTATGTTGAAAAAGTGGCAAATTTAATCAGAGAACAAGGGTTTACAATGGAACATTTTTTCTTCATAAATACTAAAATAATGGTCAGAGAAGACCTTGGCGACTGCTTACTCGGTCATTGGGATTTTCCAACAGTTTTGCCAATAACTAAGAAAAACTAACTTTTCAGAGGCATGTTGTGGAGACATTTTTTGGATTTGATGAAGAATCTGTTGATTCAGAAACATCGTCTGTAACTTCGTATAACACAGATAAAACAGACAGGACACCAGCAACACCAGAAGAAGATTTGGAAGATGTAAGTAGTAGATGATTTGTTCTTAAGTTCTATAAAAATAGACATGGAGTATAAATGCAAACATTTTTTTCAGCTATTCTGCTACAGGAACTATGACAGATTTGGCAAAGAATTGCTTTGTTTTGTTTCAAGTCCAGTAACATTTCAACAGTCGTTGCAATAGAATTAATAAAATAATATTCTGCCTGGCAGTTTTGGCAGATACTGGGCTGAGAAATAAAATAGTTTTTCTCAAACCCTTTCTTATTAGTCAAAAGAAAATGAATAGGCGCATTGCTTTGCCAAAAGTCAATAGTTACTAGACAATAGTTTGCCTTCCAACCTTATAATTTATTTGGCTGTTTTGATACTACAAGGATTTTCTTCCTGTACTTACAATACTCAGAGAGGCTTTTGCAATTCATTAAGGCTTAAACAATCATAGGTAATAAATACCCACTGACAAGTTTTGTCTCAGCTCTGTGATATACACTGCAGCTGGCCTACTGTGGTGGGTTGACCCTGGCTGGACACCAAGTGCCCACCAGAGACCCTCTCTCACTCTCCTCCTCAGCTGGACAGGGGAGAGAAAATATAACGAAAGGCTCGTGGGTCAAGATAAGGACAGGGAGAGATCACTCACCAATTACTGTCACAGGCAAAACAGACAACTTGGGGAAATTAGCTTAATTTATTACCAATCAAACCAGAGTAGGGTAATGAGAAAATAAAAACTAAATCTTAAGACGCCTTCCCCCCACCCCTCCCTTCTTCCTGGGCTCAGCTTCACTCCTGATTTCCTTGACCTCCTCCCCCCAAGCAGCGCAGGGGGACGGGGAATGGGGGTTGCTGTCAGTCCATCACACGTTGTCTCTGCTGCTCCTTCCTCCTCAGGGGAGGACTCCTCACACTCTTCCCCTGCTCCAGCGTGGGGTCCCTCCCACAGGAGACAGTCCTCCATGAACTTCTCCAACGTGAGTCCTTCCCACGGGCTACAGTTCTTCATGAACTGCTCCAGCGTGGGTAACTCCCACGGAGTGCAGCCCTTCAGGAGCACACTGCTCCAGCGTGGGTCCACCATGGGGTCACAAGCCCTGCCAGCAAACCTGCTCCAGCCTGGGCTCCTCTCTCCACCTGTCCGAGCCTGCTCCAGTGTGGGCTTCCCACGGGGTCACAGCCTCCTTTGGGTACATCCCCCTGCTCCGGCGTGGGGTCCTCCCCGGGCTGCAGGTGGCTATCTGCTCCCCCGTGGACCTCCATGGGTGCAGGGGCACAGCTGCCTCACCATGGGCTGCACCACGGGCTGCAGGGGAATCTCTGCTGCGGTGCCTGGGGCACCTCCTGCCCTCCTTCTGCACTGACCTTGGTGTCTGCAGGGCTGTGCCTCTCACATGTTCTCACTCCTCCCTCCAGCTGCAGTTGTGCTCTTTCCACCCCCCCTTCTTAAACATGTTATCCCAGAGGTGCTACCACTGTCACTGATGGGCTCAGCCTTGGCCAGCAGTGGGTCCGTCTTGGAGCCAGCTGGCATTGGCTCTGTCAGACATAGGGGAAGCTTCTAGCAGCTTCTCACAGAAGCCACCCCTGTAGCTCTCCTGCTACCAAAACCTTGCCACACAGACCCAATACACCTACTTTAGAAGACTGCAGCGCTGAGGACAAAGTATGAATTGGATGCTCTCTTTCATCTTTCTTTCTTTTTCACTAAGTTGTGCCTAATACTCCTCAGTCACAAGAAGGTTCCTATTTTTCTAGGTTTAACATCTAATAATATTGTAAACTCTTTTCCTTTGAGCTCAAGTTCCTGGAGCAAAAATTAATTAAAAGAAAGGACATTTCTTGCCCTCAGCATTATAGGAAAGACCTTGAAAGTGTTGATGTCAGTTGCTCAAAATTCCAAGAAAATGAAGACATTAAAAATAATTAATGTTTAAAAAAAAAATTAAAAAAACATCTTAACGGCTTTTGAAATATTACTTCTGTGTTAGTGTGCTTGTGCTGGTAAAATGCTTTACCCTGGCATTGTAGAGAAAAAGAGTAAGGAGGGAGTGATGGACTGTGTGACAAATAGAACGAACCCCTTCTGAAGCCCCTGTGGCTCTGGAATTGCTAAAGGTAGTGGTGCATAGAACTGTTCCCTCTCATCTTTCCCCAGTCAGTTTCTTCCCATTTCTATACATTACTGCCTTATATTGTAACTTACACTGTCCTGAAATTGTAAGGTAGACACAGTTACTGATGTCTGCATTTCTACATCATTCTCAAATCATCCTTCCTTCCATTTCCACTTGTTTTAGTTTTTTAAGCCTTTATTAAACTTTGAGACTCAGTATGAGTTGTGTTGCTTGTCGTGTTTGTGAGTCTGTCTATATAAACAAACTCATTATCATATATATTTATACAAAAACACTTTTTTTCCCTTCTTCATTAAGAGCACACCTAAAGAAGAAGCTGAACTAAGGTTCTGCCAGCTAACAAGAGAGTATCAAGCTTTGCAAAGAGCATATGCATTGCTTCAAGAACAAGTTGGTGGAACCCTGGATGCAGAGAGAGAAGCAAGGGTAATTTTTTAACTGAAATTTCTTTTATCTCTGAAATCATTGAAAAAGCTGAAAAAACTTGGAATAGCAGGAAATATCTTTGCAGGTCAGTGAAATGCAAAGCATAATGTTTGAGGATTAGAGATTTTTATCAGCAAGATGACAATTTAGATTCATGTGGTGCAATCGGAACAGAGAGATCATTATACTTTATTCTAGCATGCATAATATATTAAAGATTTCAGTAGTAAGACAGTGTTATTGAGAATGATATCCCAATTGAACTTGCAATTTGGATAGCAACATGATGGATTTAAAATGAATCATAGAATAGGTTGTTATAAGTACTTAGATACTTTTATCATATGAGTATATTAAAAATCTGACCCAAATCTGACAAAGGAAGCCTTTCTTCAAGTTTTTTGTTGAATATGAGAAATCATAATTTGTTTTTAAAAATCTCAGTTTTAGGGTATTCTTTCACTAAAAAGCACATAGGTAACTGTTGTTCCTATTAGGTCGGCATATGTGATTGCTTACTCTCTGAAATAAGTGGGTTTTTATCCTCACAGCAATCTCTGTACTATAGATATTTGAGGTGTGAGAGAGTATGTATTCTGTTTTCATTTACCTTTCTGCCACCACTGTGTTTAACCATTTAGTGCAGAGATGAGGTCAGCAGAAGTCATGCTAGTATCTTCCTTTCTGTTTTTTCCAAACTGGGGAGGAGAGAAATTACTTCATAATGAATTGGTGAGCTCTGACTCAGTCCCCAGATCTATTCATTGAACAGCAGTGGCATCAAAAAAGAGCTGAGTTAACCAGAGGCAAAAATTCTTCTACTTTATCTCAACTCCTTGCAGACAGGGGCATGTCTAGAAATGTAGCATATTTACAAGTCACCCTCTACTTGAATGACTACTGTGGTTGATGACCAAAGAATATCTAACATCCAAATGGGCAAGCAATAGCCATAGGGCTGGAAACTTCATCATCTTCAACTGATGTCCTTCATTCTGCATCAAGTACAGCTTGAACCTGTAGATTACTGACTACTGAGAGTTGACTGAAGTCCTTGCGAAGCCACTCTCAATTATCTTTGAAGGGTCATGGCAATTGCAGGACGTTTCTGAGGACTGTAAGAAAGCTAATGTCACTCTTGTCTTCAAGAAAGGCAAGAAGGAGGATCTGGGGAACTGAAGGCTGGTCATTCTCACCTCGGTCCCTAGGAAAGGGATGGAGCAAATAATCATGGAAACCATTTCCAAAAGTTTGAAAGACAAGAAGGTGACTGGGGGTGATCAGCATAGATCTACGAAAGGGAAATCATGCTAACCAGCTTGATAGCCTTCTGTGATGGGATGCCTAGCTTGGCAGATGAATTGAGAGCAGTGGATGTTGTTTATCTTGACTTTAGTTAAGTTTTTTTACACTCTCCCCCATAAGATTCTCATAGACAAGCTGATGAAGTACAGAGTAGACAAGTGGACAGCGAGGTGGACTAAAAATTGGCTGAAATGGCTTAGGGGGTTGTGATCAGTGGCAGAAAGTTCAGCTGGAGGTGTGTCACCAGTGATGTACTGCAGGGGTTGATACTGGGTCCAGTACTTTTTAACCTCTTCCTTAATAACCTTGATGATTGAAAAGAGTGCACCTGCAGCAAGTTTGCAGATGATACAAAATTGAGAGGCATGGTTGATACATGGGATGGTTGTGCTGCCATTCAGAGGGACCATTTGACTGCCTGAAGAAACGTGTGAAGAGGAATCTCATTAAATTCAACAAAGGGAAGGAAGAGTCCTGCATGTGGGCAAGAATAACTCCATGCACCAGTACAGACTTGGGGCTGGCTTGCTGGCAAGCAGTTTTGCACAAAAGAATGTCGGGGCTCCTGGTAGACACCAAGTTGAACATCAGCCAGCAATGTGCCCTTGCAGCAAAGGTGGCCAACAGCCTCCTGGGCTGCATTAGGAAGAAAGTCCCCAGCAGACCAATGGAGGTGATCCTTCCTCTCTACTCAGCATTGATGAAGCCACATCTGGAGTCCTGGCTCCATCTCTGGGCTCCCCCAGTACAAGAAAAACATGGACATATGGGACAGAGTCCAGGAAAGGGCCACAAAGATGATTAAGGGCTTGGAGAACCTGATACACAAGGAGAGGCTGAGAGAGCTGGGACTGTGCAGCCAGGATAAGAGAAGGCTCAGGGGTATCTCATCAATTTGTGTAAATACCTGATGGAGGGAGTAAAGAAGATGGAACTAGACTCTTCTCAGTGGGATCCAGTGAAAGGACAAGATGCAACAGGCACAAATTCAAATAAAAGAAATACCATTTAAACATGAGGAAAACCCTTCTTCCTCTGAGGGCAGTCAAACATTGGAACAGGTTTCCCAGAGAAATTGTGGAGCCTTCATCCCTGGAGATATTCAGAACCGCACTGGACAAGGTCTTGAGCAACCTGCTCTAGGTGCTCCCTTGCTTTGAGCACAGGAGTTGGACAGGATATCCCTTCTAACCAATGAGACTGTAATTCTAAAAAAGTGTTTAAGCATTAAAAAACCACCTAGCCTACTTCCTCCTCCCACCCCCCTCCACACC